GATTCTCCAAGATCCTCAGTCCTTCCTTCACACTTCCATCTTCAGCGGGGCTCAAGTGGTCGGCAGCACTTCTCCAGAGCTTCCCGGCACACCAAAAGGCACGTGGAACAGAGACACTGACACGGGTGTGCTGAGTGCCCCAGTTCTCTGTCTGGGACCCCTTGCTGCCTCTCATGGCCATGATCCAACAAGTGACCCCTGCCCTTGGCAGTGATTGAATTGCTCCAGCACAGAGACTGTGCTGAGGCCGTTCCCAGTTCCTGCACTGCACAAACTGGGGTTCCCAGTGCTCTCTTTCTTTTTTAATTGAAGTAAATATTCGTGTTTAAGTATTTATTATTGGAATTTTGCATTTCCTCATCCAGATTCTAGTGCCATGTGATTTATTTATTTTTTAACAGACTTCTTGTGAGATCTTTGAGGTTGTCTGAAAATATGTATAAATCTGAGCAATTCTGGAGCTCCTGGTGAAGGGGCATTACATAGATTATGCAGTGTCAGCCAGGTGCTGGAGTGAGTGGCTTGTTACTGGCAGGAAGACAAATAAGACGAAGAGGATGGAGAACTCACTATGAGCCTCACTCTGTTTTGTAAGTTGTCCGTCCTGCTTTATTTTCTGAATTTAATCGGAGTGGTCTGATATGGTTTATCTTCGTGGCATTTTGTAGCTGCGTACTTTTGGTAAGGAGAGGTTTGAAAAGGGTTGGTTTTGCAAGAGCGTTCAATGGTCAATGACCTTTAGGACAATGCCCTCATTGTTTCTAAACAAATGTCTGGGCTGTTGTAGACTGTGGATGGAGCCATGGTTTGTACTATCCTGCTGGTCTGTGGACCTTGGTCTGTGTGCTTTCAGGTTTAACTCCATTCCACCCCTCCCAGCCTCACTGTTACCTGTCAGCCACAGTCTGACCTAGAGGGGACAGGACCAGGACAACCTCCTGAACATCTGCATGGGAGCAGAGCATGGCAGGCGATGTACAGGTCAGAGGAGGAAGAGGCTTGGACCTCTCCTCCCAGGTCTCATCCACCCTTTCCTTTCTCCTCCTGCTGGCCAGCTCTTTGCTTTCTCCTTTGCCAGTGTATGGTTTTTTTCTTATTCCTTCTTTTTTTTTACCATTCCAAGTCAAATCTCAACTCTGCTCTTTCTATGGCTCTGAGCTTTACCATGTTGCTTTGCTCTCCTTTTGGAGCTGGCTGTGGAGAACAGGGTGCTTGTCCTAGCCTGAACCCAGAGGGATGATCTGAACAGCATTTCTGCCTCCCCTCGCTCTGTTAAGCTGATCTCAAGCACAGCAGCAGTCTCTGCAGCACGAGCTGGTGGGCTGTGATGGTTCGCATGTGTCTCCAAAGACAGTTTGGCCTTGTGCCCGCATCCTTCAGAGCATCAGTCTCACTGGATCACTAGATCAATTTGCCCATGAAGCTGTAAAATTTATGTAATTGCTCCCCCGGGGCCCATGGTTCACACTGTGGGGTTGTTCTCTGCTGCCTTTCCCATGGTGTCCATCACCTCTGGGGAGCAGGAGAAGCTCTGGACAGGGCTGAGGCAGAGACATTAACTGTGACTGCCAGCACTCCTGAAAATAGCCTCTGTTGTTCCCAGAAGAAGAAAAATCCCTTCACCCAGATGTCCTGGCCCCGTGTTTGAATAGTAACATTAGAGGTACAAAGAGAGACACAAATTACTCCGCAGGTTCGTTGTCAAAAGAAGAATGGTCTAAAGCACTCTGGGGGATGAAAGCTGGCACTCAGACAGGAGTGCCACTATTGTACCCTGTGGGAGAAACCAGGCTAGGAGAAAGGAGTTTTCCTCTTTCTTTTCACTGCCACTGCTATAGATTGTCTGTGTCCTTCTGTGCCTAAGGCAGGGGCAAAATAGAGGCTTAGTTGAAGGGCTGACATTTGAGATAGAAGGAGAAGCTAATCTATTAATGTTACTTAGGCATGGCTGTAGCTAAGCACTGCCTCTGCTGTAAGGCTGTCAGTCGCCTCTTGGAGGGAAAATTGGCTAAATCAGACTCAGAGCTGACACCCAAAGTCATGGTTTGTCTTTTATGGTGCAGAAGCACCCGTGGAGCCGGCTGGACTCCAGCCAGACTGCTCTGAAAAGTCTCCCTGGAGAGACTGTGACTTCTCACCCTCGCTCCCCCTTCTTGTTGCTGGGTTTGCATCTTCTGGAGATCTCTCTGCTGTAGTTTGTCTGACAAACAGCGTCATTAGTTCGCCCCTCGCAGTCGTCTGTCCTCTGCAGGGCCAGGCTTCCCTCTCAGATGAAGGCTCTTTACCTTGCCTGGCACGCAGCTCTGGAGCTGGGCCGTGCTCTCCAGCCTCACGCCGGTGCTTAGAGCCTTCTCCTTGTGCCTGTGGTGCCTGCTCAGTGCTGCTCAGCACTCTGCCTTGTGGAAAACGTGGCTTGGGTGTAATCTTTGTTTGGAAGTTCTTTTTATTTTAATAGCTGACTTACATAGCTTATTTACCTAGCTGGTAAGTGCATTTTAGAGTGCATGTGCTTTACTGGGACCAAAGGATGCTTGCTGAGTCCTGAGTTGGGGGAAATCTCTCCATTTGTACCATCCTGCTGGTTTTAAGCCCAGATAGACAAACCTCTCTGTGATTCAGGGATCGCAGACTGTGAAATCTCATGCTGGAGACGTTTTAACCCTGGATGGGATCCATATGGCCCTGTGCATCAGTGTTTCAAGTAGAGATGGTACGAAAGATTTGAAACTCATGGAGGAGTCCCATGAAAGCTGGTTCCTAAACCCCAGCCTGGCACTCTGGGTGCATCTGGCTGAGGTCTCAGTGCCCAAAATGCCCCAGGGATCCCCATGTTTCGGGGACCTACATGTGACTGTGACCTTCCTCCTCAACGTGGCTGGACACTGAAGCTGTGGATGGTTGCTCTGGCAGCGGCAGAACCCACCAGCTCTCCTTTTGTACGGGCCAAAGCACTTTGGGAGGTAAGGAGGTGTCGGGGCATTGGGAGGAGATGGGAAAAGCTGAGCTGATAACAGCATCAGGGTATGTGGGATGGTCTTGGAGAGACCTGCTGAACCCACAGGCAAGCAGGACATTGCTCAACAGTTGTTGGGGCTGTTTTCTGTTGGTTTTATTTTTCCTTTTAAAAATTGGAGTTGAAGATCCTGGCTAATTTCTAGGCCATTTCTCCTGCAAACTTTAATTAAAAAATAGTAAGTGACTTGGGTCTCTGACATGGTCCCTCGTTAAATTCACTCTCACAGACTTGCTTTGATTTAATCAGAAGTACTTAATGAGAACTTAACCTGATGGGAGTTCGTTCCCTTAAGGCTGGGTCGGTGTTTGAGGCTGGCACAGCCACGGAGGAGGTGGGGTCCCCGCAAAGCTTGCACTAATCCCGTCTGGCATCGGGGGAGCCCAGAGGATGCCGTTTGTGCCAGGTTGTTGTTAGATGTCTGGGCTGTTACTAATGGAGCTGTGAATTCCTGTAGCTCTGCAGGATTGCTGGGTGAGCCTTGGCTGGTCGAGGGCCCTGTGCTGACTGAAGGGCAGAGCCTGTTTCTCCTTTAAGGAGCTGGGATCTAAGTAAGTGCCACAAATAGCTTGCAAAGCATCTGCAATCTTGTTCTCTTCAGTAGAAGTGAATTAATTTGATTCATACCTAAGACAACTTACATAAACATTTAGGCCAACTTCTCCATCGATAACAGCCAGATTATTATTTTTTTCCTTTGATTTTTCAACTAAGACACAAGTAAAGGAAATTTCAAAGTGCTCACTTGCTCTCTTGATGTGCTAGGCAGGACCTCCAGTAGCTGTTGAAGGGTTTCTCCGTGTATCCAAAGCAAGAAGTGAAGGTTCTTGTCCGAGAAACTAGCTAAGAAAAATGGTTTGTAGCAGCAACTTTCTTCCCAGAAGAATATAAGCTTCTGCTTGCAACACACCACAGGTCCTGTGGTGGCCTGGCTGCATTGTGCACAGGTGAGAGTTAGCCAGAATAACTAACACAGCAGTAACAAAGAGCATTAAATTGTGTGTTAGCTGTTCAGTAGCAGCTGGAGCTCTGCCTTTCCACGCAGCTGTGTCATTGTGTCTGATCCTCCAACGTGGTATTTTGTGGGATGAGAGTGCATTGGGTCAGGCTGGAGAGCTTTGTGGTGCTGTGGGTGAGCCAGCCCTTTGGTCTGGGTGCAGCCGGGACCCTGGGCCAGCTGCGTTTGCCACGGGGATGCTCCACAGGGATTGTAAGGCAGAGGTGTGCTGGGGACAGCTGGAGCTGACAAAAACTGCTGCCCCTTCAGCTCATAAAAACAGCGATCCCAAGTCAAGTTGCTCTTCTGGGATTCCTGGGCTCAGAGGCTGGTGGGACGCTAATGGGATTTTGGCAGGTTTGTGTCAATGGGTGGGCTGGGAAAGGGGAAGAGTGGGACCTTTCACAGGACTTTGTTCCGTAGCTATGGTGTCTTCCCAAGCTTCCTGCAGAAGCGAAGCCAGTAGTGGTAGAGCCATCAAACCCTATGTCACAAACACACCTGGTTTGGTGTCTGTTCTGTAGAGACTGGCCTCAAACCCTTTCTTTACTAACTCTTTTCCTTCTTTTCCAGCTGAACCCCATCCCGGTTTTCCCTTCCGTGGCTGCAGCAGGCACCAAGCCTTGCCCAGGGTGGCTATCTAGTGGCCAGAGGAAGGTAGTGGATGTGTTTCTCTGCTGGTTCTGTGCAAGAGGACTGAGCTACATGAGATACAGGCAGGACCCTGTTACATGTAGTCATGCAATTCGTAAGAGCTATTGCTATTTATTTTTTTTAGTGGGTTAGCTGTCTCCAAATTTTTTTTATTGATGGTGCAGTCGCTATAGAGGAATAAATTATTTAAGCTATAGTCCATTGCAGCTGTAGACTGTGTAGCTAAGGGACTTGTAGTAACTAACAGGGGTTTGATGTGCTTAAAATCTATGGGAAAGTAGAGCGGGGACAAGCCATATTAGAAAGGAAAACCACCACTGGTAACATTATATACTCAACATTTTATTATAAAACCCTCTAAAGCGCCACTTTATAGGTCACAGTTACAACAGAGGAAATGCCTTGAGTTAGGAAAACAATGGGGACACAGAGACATTGTTTAACGGTTCGTGTCTGGGGAAATGTGTGTTGCTCAGGTCTTGCCTACATTTACCACCCCCTGATGGAGACATCCCAGCAGGACCACCGCAGGTGACGGGGCTGTGGAGCCGAAAGCAGAGCTGCTCTCGTCCATCGCTGTCTCAGTACCACTGTGAAATGTCTGGACAACTCCTGGAGGACAACAGCAGGACATATGGTGAGGGCATGGCACCACACTTACACTTTGGGCATAGGGAGGGTCTCCTGCTAGCTCATGATGGAGCAAAACAAAGGCTTCATGGTGGCTGTGGCCTCCCTGAGCTTTGGAGAGGATAAGGCCCCTGGGTCCTGAGCCAGAATTTTCAGTGGTTTATTTGCATGAGTTTTCCCTACGTGCAAACCTTGCACAGGGACAGGCCTGACAGCTGGGGCTGATGAACTCTTGAGGCCTGGGATTAGCACGTTCCTCCATCTGCACCACAGCAGAGACTTCAACAGTGAAAAACCCAACGGGAGTGAGGGCACCTTTCTTGCCTCCAGGATACCCTGACCAAGTGCTTTGTCGCACCTCAGCTCCATGGTGGTGGCAGCAAGAGGAGAGCCCCTTGGGAGCACATCCTCACTCACCCCAGTGCCACCATCACCTCTGAGTGTCACAGCCCTGCACAGTCCCCCCAGGCTTTGTGTGAAGCCTGTCAAAGGTCTTCAAGGTTTAGGAAGGTATATTTTCCTCGTCTGTGTTTACCTTGGCTCTGCGTGATGCTCACTGGTGTAGCTGTGGGACCCCGGGAACAACCCAGCCAAGGTCCTGGTGCTGCTTTGGCTTTGCAGGGTTGGAAAACAACTGCAGCCCCCCCACACTCAACCCAGTTACTGAGGCTGGACTCCAGGGCTGAAGGACCATCAGATGTGTCTCCAGGCCATCATACATGACAGCAGTTTACAGGGAAGAGATTTACATGAATTTCTGACACCTCCCCTACACCCCTTCAGATTTCCGTGTCTTTAAGTCTAGCTGGCCCAAATGTCCAACATCTTTCATTAGAAAACTTGGGTAGGGCAGAGAGAGGTGGGCTTTGTGGGTCACACTGCCAGGGCCCAAAGGCTATATTAAGTTTAATAAGTTGGGAATAAGGGTGACAGCACCAAGATGGCCAGCAGCCCATCAGAGAGACAGTGGTGCAACCTCACCTGTTGGGCCTGGAGGAGAACCCTGCCCATGTGGAGGGGCCTCTTTAGCACAGAGATGTCTTCAGCAGATTGTACAGCTGTGGGGTTGGCTTGGCCTGCTACAGCTCTGTGGGGACCAGAGAGCATCAGCTAAGTGGAGCTCACAGCCAGGGCGGGAGCACAGGGATGGCTTTACCACCTCCCCTCTGCTGGGAAAGGGCAAGCCTTGAAGGGTGCAGCTTCCCTATCCAACAACTGAGCAGGCCTGGGCCTTTGACAAATTATTAACAAGCATTCAAATATGATTTTTTTTTTTTTTTTTTCCAAAACAAACTCCTTAGGTGAAGTCGATCAAGATCTTCAAGAAAATTAACTGAATCTGCTTGGTAGATCTTCTTTGCCCAGAGCTCTTGGTGCCACCAGTATGGAGCAGAGCTTACAGCACAAGAAGGTGAGAAGGGATCTTTGTTGATATTCTGGCGAATGTGCAGTGGGCTGGTAGGGGTAAGCACATTTCTGGGATGCATCGGGACACATTGAAAATCCCCTGGACAGGCTGCTGTGTGCTTCTCATTCGTGACTCCAGCATTGCTCAGGCTTGGGTATCTATCTGATGATCACATATATCTGAAGGCTGGATGATCTGCAGCTGAGTGATTACTGGCAGCGAGGCAGGTGAGGCTTTAGTTGACTGAAATTTGCCATGACAGACTGAAAACCACCAGGGTATAAAGAATAGCAGAGTCCCCTTCTGAACCCACTACTGTCACTAATATAGAAACCTTAATAACTCATTGATAAACCTTCAGAGTAGAAATACACAAAACACCCCTATGTACAGTAACATTCTTGTGTACATCAACTGGGTTAGGAATTTGATGCAAGGATTGCCACTGGTTGTTACTGGTTTAGCTACGTGATTGATTGGGACTTGTCTGGAGAGAGCAAGATCATTTGGGATAATTCGTATCGGCAGCGGTTGACTCCATTGCTGCGTCCGAGCAGTTGGCGCGACGCGGAGGAGGCGCTTGGTGTGGGGCTGGGTTGCACACCCAACCTCCACCGACAGATGGTTGAATCCCCTTGGCCATGGATGGGCAATTCCAGTCTTTAGTCCATCTCTGAAAAACGTGGTTCTAACTAGCTCCCTTCTTCTCCCATTCCTGCCAAGGAAGAAGGGCAATTTAGACAAAAGGCAAATCTGGCAAGCCACAGCAGCTGTAATGTCACAGGATCAAACTGATCATCTGCTACCCGAGTGGTTTGGGCCACAGGGTGGGTGTCAGGGATGTCCCTCTGTCATAAGCAATATAGACACTTACTCATTTAAATCACAGCCGGGGCGAGCCCAGGTGAAAAGACCAGAGGGAACCCAGGCTGTCCTGCTCCAAGTTAGGGGTTCTTCCCAGCCCAAGACATGAGACCCACCACAACCCCATCCCACCCCAACCACTCTTCTCCACTGCCAGGAGAGAAAAGCAGTGACTGTCCCAGGATTTTTCTCCTGTATCAATCAGCACCTTACCTTAGCTTTCTGTAGGACTGTTCCCTTCCCCGTCACCATGACAGACAAAGGCCGGTTTTTTAAAGCTGTTGCTGAATTGACCGGTGAGTTCTCTGCGCTACTTGCTGGACTGGCACTTTTTGCCTGAATCTACAATAAAAATAATAGAAATTGCATTAACTTTACTTTAGGCTATGGAGAGAGATTGCTGCCTTTCACCACCATCTCCCAGGAAAGCTCGAAAATCCACTTGCACTGAGAGATGTGCTGATTTCAAAATACCATGGTGTGCGTGGTGGTGAGGACTCAAGCAGAGGTACAGAGCAGGACTCAGGTGATGACCATCTCCGTTTCATGGGAGCCAAATTCCCAGAAAGAGATTTAGATGCCTGAATCTACCCCCCATAAAACACCCCTTGGCTCAGCTGAGCACAGAAGGAGCTTGGCCCAGACCTGCTATCTATAATAGAAATATAAACCACAAATATAAAAAATAATATATTGTAATAATATATTATTATTATTAGTTATTATATTATCAAGTGGGCTGAGATGGTGCAACTACCCAGCTGCTGGGAAGCTGCTGTGCAGCCCAGGATTGTCCCCCACCTACCCGGGGGGCTGCGTTCTCCAGGTGTGTGGTGTCCACCGCTGTGCCCAGCGTCACCGGGCCGGACTCTGCCTTCTTCAGGTTCTCCTTCACCTCCACCAGACTCAACTCCAGGTCCACCCTCCGGCTCTCCTTCCTTTTGCACTCTTCTTCTATCTCCTTCAGCCTCTGCTCCAGGCTCTTGTCTGTGAAGGGAAGGGTAAGTTGGTGCCATACTGGAACTTGGGAAGCAAGGACTAGAGCATGTCCTTATATTTTGCCCCAAGAGGGACTGACAGAGCAAGCTCTTGCTCGAGTGCAATCTGGGCTAAATGGTTGGGCTCCAAGCACCAGGTCTTCCCCTTGCCCCTTCTGGTCCCAGGTGGGCCAGATTCACTGCCCCATGGTGTCACCCTGGCTCGTTCCCACACATCACCCCTTGCCCTGTTCTCTACCTGTGTTGCCCCCGAGCATTTCCTTCAGCTCCCTCCTCTCCTTGCGCAGCTGGGTGAGCTCAGCCCGGATTTCATCCTTCTCCTTCTCCAGCCGCTCCTTCTCCTCCGTGAACCTCTTCACCTCCGCCTCCGTCCTGTTCTTGCCCAGCTTGGTTTCCACTGCTGCTGCTGGAAACACAACCCACCAAAACAAGCTCAAACCAGGGGGAAAAAAAAAACAACAGGAGGGGAAAAAAACCCTTTTTGGGTGCTTGGAAACAAAATGAATAAGAGTGTGGAAAGTCATGAACCAGGAGACTCATCGGCCCTCGGGCACTGTAAAGCTACTGGGTGGCAGCAGGCAAAACTCATGGCTGGAGAACCACCTCCCTCCAAGCCCCCCGTGCAGCCCACTCACCCGGCAGTGGCATTTTGGGCCGGTTTGCAGGAGGCAGCTGGGGACTGCCCGCTGTCACCGTGCCTGCCGGCGGCTCGGGGGCTGCCTGGGGGAAGGCGATGTTCTGCTGCTGCGTCTGGATTTTGACAGCAGGCATCCGTGTGGGCATCTCGTCAGGCTCTGGCTTCTCCGGGTGTTTCTGGGAAGGGGAAACAAGGTGAGATGATATGGACGGAGGGGATCTGGCCCCCTGATGAAGCCTGGCCCCACAGTGCAGCTCAGGACAGTACCTGCTCCGTGGTCTCCATGGCCTTACTACAGGGCTCAGCCTCCTTGGCCACGAGGGCTGTCTCGGGTGTGCTCTCTGCCGCAGCCTTGCTGGCAGCCCTTTCTAAGGTTGGTGAGCCAAGGGGTGAAGGCTGACACGACTTCTTGCCAGCACAGTGTAGGAAGGACTTCACCGGGGTGAGATCCAGGTACACTCTGTCTTGGTCCCCCTCCGGTTTGCTCTCACTCTTGGGTACTTCTTCCTGCAAAAGGAGAAAGTTCTCCTGAGAAGGGTCCATCTGCTGAAGCCAGACGTACCGGCAAAGTCTCACTGCAGAGCAGCAGCATCTCAGCCAATCTGGAGTATTTTCCATAAACCTTACAGGAACTAAATCCCCATTCTCTAAGTCCATACAGGGCTTTTTGGTATACTGAAGGGAAGTCCAGTCCCCTCCTGCTCTCCTTCACTAGGTCTTGGTGGCAGCAGCACCATGCAAGGATCTCACACTGTTGTGCATCCAGCAGCCCCTGCCAGCTCCTTGGCCTTCCCCAGGATAACAGCATGGCCCATCTTTCTTTTTATTACAGACAGGACTTGATCTCACAGACATCAAGAAGAATTTTGACAGACTCCAAACACACCACTGTCTACGTCCAAATAATCCATGCTGTTTGCTGACAGAAACTGGGGTTTCATCCCAGCTGCCTGAGGATCCCTAGAGCATCCCGATCGAATCTCACCGGCTCTGTGGTCACCTGCCCAGTGCTGTACAACCCTCCCAGTGAAAAAGTTCTTCCTAGGCTCCAGTCTGAGTTTCTAAGCTGAAACTTGGGGGTATTGCTTTTTGTTTTAGCATCTGCTACTACCAAGAAGTGTTTGGTTTCATAGGATTTGAAACAGTGTTTGGTTTCATAGTCTTTGAAACTGTCCTTTAACTATCTGTGGGTTGGTATTAGATCCCCCATGAAGATGAAGCAAGTTTTTCCCTCAACCCTTCCTTGTAGATGGGCCCTGATCTTCAACCATCCCAGTAGCCCTTATTCAGATGTGAAACAGATTTCAAGACAAGTACAATTTGGGAACAATTTATTTGCACTTACCTTAATTTTGTTACTCAGTATTTCATCTGGCTATGAGACACAAGTTGCAGTGTCATTACCATTCTATTTTAGATTGGAAAGTATCTACTAGATCTTGTCTAGGTCAGAAACAAATAATTCAAAGTCTCTGATTTGCCCTTGGCTGTCTCCAGTAGATATTACAGAAGGTAAAAAGATTTCTGTTGGTTTCATTTATAAAATTATCATCTAGGTACAAATTTAAGTTAAGCACTGGTTGTCCATACAACTAGAATCCATTCTATATGTGATTTATCTCCTTACCTTGTGAAAGGCAAATGAGATGCAATACTTGGAGCCACCCTGTCTCAGTAACCCTGTGTTTGCCTTCATTACTACTGACATCTACTCTCCCATTCCTTATCAACTCTTCTCCAGCACCCACTTCTGCCCCATTGCAAAATTCCCCAGGGGCTGGGAATCCCCTTTGCTGGAGTTTGAAAACTCTTCCCCCTTCACTACTGGAGTCCCCCCTGGCCAGATGTTTGCCCGTGGTGTCTGCAGAGCTGGCTGCAGCTGGGGGGCTGCCTGTGGCATGGGGCATCTTACCACAGGCAGGTCTGGGAGGTCCACGTCGTCGTACAGCTCCTCCTGCTGCACCCTGCCCTTGGGCAGGTTGTCGATGTAGGCGTTGGGCTCCGAGTACTTCCTCTGCATTAAGCTGTGAAGAGGCAGCGGGACATCCCATCAGGAGGGATGGGTCTCGCTGCGTGGCTGCAATATACTGAATTTTGGGGCATCTGAACACAGTGGTCCCTGGGGGCTGGGCTGGGCCACGTGGCCAGACGCAGGAGATGAGAAGGTAGAGCTGTGCAGCAACGTGATCAACGCTCCCCTTGTCCATTAAGCAGCACCCACCAGAGAGGGGCTACATTTCCTTTCCCCTTGGCTTCTTCCTTTCTCACCCAGCCCTCGGGCACAGCAGCACAAGGGCCCTGCCCCAGTGGCACGGCAGCTCTGTGAGCAGTGTGGCCCCACAGCCCCAGCCAAGCCCACCCCACCAACCTGCCACCACAAAGGCCATCTGGGAGTTTGCCCCTAACCCTGTGGCAGCCACAGCTTAGGTTAGACATGTCATGGTGGGACAAGAAGAAGTGCTCTTCTGTCCCACACTGTACTCCCAAAACAAGCAACCAAGTCACAGCCATGAATGCACCACCCAACCCTGCAGCCTCCAACCTCTCCCCAGCAGGGAGGTCCCCACCGCTCCAGCTTGCTTCCCCTCCACCAGTCCCTGCAGCCCCCACACGTTACCACTGACGTACAAGAACGAGTTCTTCGCAGCGCTCACGATGCAGGACACCCGGTCAGCATCCACGTAATCGTAGGTAAACTCCTCCGGGTCTGTCTTCGAACCTGACTCCGACAAGAGGAGGCCCAGCCAGTGGCCCATCTCCTCCGAGGACTTCGCCTAGGAGGTGAGCAGAGAGACAGCATGGGTTGCAGCAGCAGTTCCTCTGCACTCCCAAGGCTATGGCCAACTTCGCCGTGGCTAGGGAACTTGCTGGCTGTCCCCTGGGCTTGCAAGGGGAAAGATGAACCACCAGGTATTTATATTAAATCTGAGACCACATGAAAAGAAGTCCCCCTCTGTGTATGGGGTGGGCCAGGCTGGATGGGGCTTTGGGCAACCTGGTCTGGTGGGAGGTGTCCCTGCCCAGGGCAGGGGGGTTGGAACTAGATCATTTTTAAGGTGCCTTCCAACCCAAACCATTCTATGATTCTAGGGACTGATTTGTAAATTTGGAAGACATGAATGCAGCTTTTTGCTTCACTCCTTCCTAGAATTTCTAGTTAGTCTGCATTTTCCTTTCAGCAACGATCAATTCAGCTGCCTACAGGAGTAAGAGAAGTCTCCGTGGCTGGAGATGCTGGTGAGGAGCTGGCTTTGGAGCGGGACGTGCGGGTTTTGTATTGCACCAGCAGAGTGCAGCAATGGGATTGCCAAACACCGACTCCAGGAGATCCCAGCACACCAGGGAGCCTGCCAGCTCCCCACATCGGAGCCCAAACCCCTTCCAGGGCTGTTTGCACGGGGGAGAGTTTAACGTGGGATCAGAGAAGAACTACAAAGACACCCCCTTGCTTTAACGCATTACCAAATTCCCAGCTGTAGTGAACAGTCTGACATTTTCCAAAAAAATAAAAGTTAAATACGGTGCCTCAAAGTCAACTCCAGCAAATATCCACATGCACTTCCCAGCAGTGGGGGATTTCTACCTGGAGCAGGAAGGAGTGGGCTGCTGCAGCCACCTTTACATCTTTTGCTTTGATTCAAGGAGCTAGAGCAGTAAGCACAAAGTGAAATTCAGGGCAAGTGAATCCCAAAGTGGAAGGTATATTTTAAGCTCCCAATCTGTTTTATTTAGCAGAGACTTCAGTCCCTGGGAAGCCAGCCAGCCTGTACATGGAGTCTGACATCCCAACAAAATACAGATTCTTCCATTCACATAATGTAAATTTTGCCAGCACCTCTTCTTCACATCTGTAATTAGGCAAAATTTCTTAAGACACAGACATACCCTGAAACAGAAGCTAAACAAAAACACCTTCAAACTTCATGGCAGGCTCTCAGAGTCAGTTGTTTAGCTATAAATATTCCACCCACTGGAAAAATACAGGAAATTGCTCACATTGTCTACCTCCTACTATAATCACGCTGTCGTCAGAGAGAACTAAGATTAGAGATAAACAGTCCTGGATGCAGGCAAAGGAAAGTAACAGATGGAGATGAATTCACTTGCACTTTCAGGGGCAGATCTGTGATCAGTTTACTTGGGATGCATGACCCATGGCTTTGGGAGTCTCCATCTTCAGAAGATGAAGTTCTCTGTTCCTCCTAACCACAGGCTTAAATCCCTAAAGTGGCATTCACTCTCATCTCACATTAGCCATCTGAAACACATCCCATGTAAATTAATCATGCAAGATTATCCTGTCTTTAGTGGAAAGAGATGGGCACCTCCAGAGGACCCTGCATCCCATCCTAAGATGAGTGCCTAAGATGAAGGCTGAATGGTCCTCTGGAGGCGCCAGCATCAGACAGGGCCTGGACTACCAGCAAGGTGGGACACCTTCTGGGCAACCGCAGGCAGATGAACCAAAGTCCCGCATTTCAGGTTCTGTTTTGCTGGATTAAGGGTTCCTCTGGAGGACCTCACTGGCATTTAGTCCAACTAAGACACCCAAGCTGATGACTTAAAGCAGAGCTTGGTTAGACATATACACCCTACCTCCAGAATGACCCGTTCTTCCCCGTTGTGCAGGATGCGGAAGGAGTAGAGGTGATCAGGGCTTGGCTCTGGGATAACTTCACAACCTGCCAAACTCAGGGGTTGCTGAGCCAGTTTGCTTCGGTTCTTGTCCTGGTAGAAATGGAGGTGACCATCTTTTACCTGACACCAGCGGGACTTCCACTGGCTGTTCACTAGCACGTTCAGGTAACCTGCAAGCAAGCACAGGTTACTTAGGCATGTTTTCCACCCCACGGGGAGAGGAAATCCAAACTCATTTGCGTGCACAGGGCTGTCTGATGAGTAAGTTCTGAGATCACCACACAACACAAAGCCACAGGCAACAACAAAGAGCAAAAGCAGAAAGACGAACTCCCCTGTCCATACAAAACAGAGTGAAAAGGGTAAAAATCTATTCAAAATAAGACCCTTGCAATTCAGGTTAGGTTTGGAGCAGCAAGTTGGCTGCAGATGGTTAGTCAAAGCTGGTTCCAGATGGTGAATACCAGCTGACCTACACAACCCTCTCCCTTCTGACTCCCACACCTTGGGCTGATGCCCAGGAAGAGCAGCACAGATGCCTTCTGTGTGCTTGTCTAGTGTTACCTGCCCTTCCTTTTTGGTCACCCTGTGAGCTATTGCCCACCCTTGTAAGCCACACAGTCACCTTAATGTGTAAGAAGCACCACAATCTGCACTGGATTTAGTGTCAGGGACCAAGCAGACTGTGGCCTCTCGCCTCCCGCAGCAGGACAGCCTGGCACATGGGGGTTTGAGGAGGATGATGGCTGGTGCTCATCCTGCTCTGCACACCGAGATCCAACCCCGACACAAGTCCCTGCAGGGGAATTCATGCTGCCACTTACTGGAAGTCTCCAGGGATCTCTCTGGGCTATCCAGGGAACTGGATTTTTTCCTCCCAAGGTTCATCAGGTTGCTCAGTTTCAGGCCAGTTGTGCCTTTCTTCTTAACTACCAGAAAAGAAAAAGACACGTGTGTTGCTTTCCCAACTCCCAGGCAGACACAGAGCCCGCTGTCCCAGATGGTGTCCTGCCCCAAAGCTGCCTGTGCTGCTGTCCTGCACCCAACACTGCTGTGGCACACACGTCCCCTGCAGAGGGCAAACCTGTGACACCTGTGACATGGGGACAGGCTGTAATAGCCCAAAGCCCAGGGAGATGATGAGCAAGATGGCACCAGTAACCTGGGTTAAGTGACCTGCCAAACACACTTAATCTATATGGTGTCCAAACACCCAGAGGCTGCTGGAGCTGCAGGCAGGCTGTTAGCACAGGTGCCAACCCCCCTTTGCTTTCTTACACTACAAAGAATTGAATTAAAAACTATTACTCATAAATATTTACTGCCTTCAAGTCTTTTCCCTTCTAAAAGAGGGACTCAAGGTAGAGAGGGGGAAAGTTTTTGCCCAGAGAGCCTCTTCAGCTTTTTCATCAGTGTTTTCAATCAGTGTGTGAACATGGCTGGGGCTGTGCACTCATCAGGGAATCCTCGTAAGAAATCTAGTTGGATGTTTTTACTCCAGATTTTCTTTCTCTCTAGCATAACAAAATGATGCAGTGCTAGTGCAGGGGGACTCAGCAGCCACGCTCCATCTGTTGGGTGACTCCAGTGAGTCCTCAGCATGGATTTCTCTTTCTCTCTAATATGTAGATGAGTCCCACCATCCTTCTAACAGAGCATGTCCTCTTAAAATGTTCTTACCTGTCCCATCTTATAGATGGAGAATGGAGCTTAAAGCCCAGAGTTTGATGCCCTAGTGCCAAAGTCTAACTCCTCACTGGAGACAGCTCAGCCTTTCACACAGGTACTCCAAGTTTCTCCGCAGAGATCTTTAAGGAAAGTCACTTAGGTTGCAATTATGCTGCCTTAAACCATCCCAAAGTGACTCGTCCAGTGCCATGCAGGATCTGTGTGGTAGGGCAGGTATCACCCCCATCCAAGATCCTAACTAACTGCTGAGAAATCCCAACATCTACTTGTCACCTCATTATGGAAAAAAGCACTGAAATTCAAACACTTGGTTTGGGGTGGCAGTGGCATGAGACACTACAGAAACCCTCACTGCACATACAGGGTTGATGGCCCACTTTTACCCCTCATTCCCAGGGTGAATTTTTACCATCTTTTATCTCTGCCATCTCTGGGTGCCCGTCCGTGCTGCTCCCGCTCTCGGAGGCTGCAGAGTACCTCTCGGGCACCTCCACCTGTCAACAAGCACCAGACACAAGCTCCACAGATGGACGTGACCCATTCCTCCAGCCAGTACCCACCACAAGTGCCTTTTCCCCGCTCTGAAATTAAGAGGTCCCACCTTCTCCCTAGCAGATGCTTTCACACAGACATCCCCTGCCCACCCCCTCACGCTGTGCCCTCCCTGTTATTTCTCAGCCTGGCATGGGCAGATCCAGCACACAAACTACCCCGGCTGGGCTCATCTCTGACATGATGTGGTGGCACCACCAGTGTCACCCTATGGCCTCCTACCCTGAAGCCTGGCTGCTGGGGGCATTTGCTAGTTCCCATAGGAGGGCATGGGCAGAGGAACTGACCAGACGCCAAAAGAGGTCCATTTAGGGTGTCCTGAGACTTATGAAGGTTTGTTTTTTCTCGCACTGTTTTAGAACAAACGGCTCCCCCAGGATTATCACCTAAACCTGGACTAAAGACTGGCCCAAGCCCTGGCATCTAAGGGTCTATGTCCACTTCTAAAGCTCTTGGTGAGCACAACTGCCTGTTGGACGAGATAGTGCTGCTGCCCTGTATGGAGGAGAGCCCAACGCTGAGTCACTTTTGGAGGAAAGATGTGCCAACAAAATTAAGATTGCAAAGCAAAATTAAGATTGTTCCAATAATGCTCCTTTTCAGCACAACAGGGGTCTGGTTATGCTCATATCAGTCTACCAAAAAAAAATACTGCACCTACAACTATTACTTGTGAAAGGAACAGGGTGGAAAAGCCTAAGTGCTAGTTCTCTCTGCAGAGACAAGGTGTACCTTTGGGTAGCTGAGACGCTGCGAATCTGGGATGTACTGGTTGCCTTCACTGCCTCCTTCGCAGAGCAGACCACTGGTCTCCTGGATTACCTGTAGAGAAGGGGAAGCCATAGTCTGTGAGAGAGCTGCAGTAACAGGATCAGTAGTTCTCCTACCACCCAGGATAGGCAAAACCAAAGCAGCCCCAGAGACACACGGTTTATGTTCCCTGTGACCCCGGGGACATTGCTGGTGTCGCAGCAGGCAGCCAGAAGAAGCTGCTGAAGCTGGGTCAGCCGTGGAGAGGCTGCCAGCGAAGGCAGCCCTGGCGCCTCGCAGCCCGTTGCCACCTCGGGGTCTGCAAAGGCTCGTTCTCCTGCTGCCGTCCCAAGGAAAGGGCCACATCTCCCCCTGTCCTCAGCCAATTCAGCTTGGGCACCCACCCCAGACACCCCTCCTGCCGCAGCAGCTGGGCTGGGAGGTCTCTCCACAGCCTGACACATGCAGAAGGCAGCAAGGAGCTGCAGAAAGAGGCCATCCCAGGACATGAAAATGAAGTGGTGTATTTGTATACAGGCCTGCAGTGAGGAAGGGAGCCAGAGCACACAAGGACAGGACTGAGATAAGATATGGTCTCCCAGTGAAGCCAGGGTAGAAGCATGGGAGCACCAGCAGGGCAAGCCCCAAAGGGGTCACTGACCCTGAGCCACTGCTCCGCCTGGTCTTTACTCTGCAGCCCCAGCACGATGACGTCGGCATTCATGGGGATGATCTTCAGCTTGTGCTCCTTCTTCCTCACTTGCTTTTCCTTGTGAATGACAGTGCAGCCCAGCAAATTCACATCGAGCAGAGGGCTGTGGTCCTTAGAGCTCTTGTAGCACTGGGGAAAGAAGATTGGAAGGCAGGTAAGAGCCTGAGGAGGAGCCTTCCCTCTCACTTGCTGGCATGGAGTCACACCTAGAAGTGGCTCAGTGCAACCACATGCATTAAATGCACTGAACACAAGAAGGTCCTATAGGTCCTACAAGGCTGTGATGTCCACAGACTACACACAGGTCATTTCTAAATGTATAGCAATACACATACATCTGGGTACATGCATGTACAGTCTGAAATACCTCTCACAGATACTGCTAGAAGGTCAAGCATGTGGTTAGCCAGTGGGATAAGCATTCCTTAACCATCTGAAAAAGTTTCCCCAAAAAGCATCTCTAGGCATTTAGGGAGTTTAGGATTTTGGCCACAAGTATGCCTTTGTGTCCCCCTTCAGCAGCCCCAAGCCCACGGCACTTCTGAAAATGGAATGAGATCCCCAAATCCCTGGGACATGGTTTCTGAAGCGTTGCTTCTAGAGGTACTTTGTTTTGGCCAGCCAGTTAACATGACCTGAGGTGCCACTTCCCTCCCTAGCTCATGAAAATAGGTTCTTTTAGGCAGAGAGTGGAGGATCTACCCACCAGCAACCTGCTGTCCTTGACAACACACAGCTGTTTTGCCCATTGTCCCAGCCACTTCTTTCTCCACAGGAATGCGCAGATGCGGGCGTCCTTCATCAGCTCGATGGTGGCCTCTGTGGATGGCCACTGATGGGTTGCTGACTTGCCTTTGCTGCTCTCTTCTTCATCATAAGATTCATAGGAGCTGCTAACGGCTTCACCATCTTCTATAACAAAAGCAAAGCTCTGTCATTAAATACATCCCTAGGACAACCCTGAGCCTGTTGCTTGCCTCAGCCATGCTCACACATGCAAAAGCTTCCAGCGTAGGGACGTGTCTTTTGAGGCTCTCCTACAGGAGGATAATCAATAGGAAAATAACCCTCATAGATCCTTTTTTCTTTCTAGCCCAATATTATTCTCATTGCAATGTTTTGTGACTAATAGTATCACTTAACAAACGCTCAAAAGACACTTCTCAGTTGACCACAAATTTGAGAACATTCCCTTAGATGTTTTCTGATGTTTGCTGCTTTCCCCCCCCCACCCAAAGATGCTTTTTCAACTTTCTACTTCAAGCCAAACACTCACAACATTTAAGGCAACAGCCAGCTACAATCAGCCCTTGTCCTCTGAATGTCAGAAGTAAAACTGGTATTTGCAAGGCCATGCAGCAAGCAATGATCTATTGTATCCCAGATGTCATTCCACTTTCCCTCTCTGAGCTAACAGGTCTCTCCTTAGCATCCAAGGGACAGCAAGGGGCTTTGAAGTAATACACTGTCACAGCAGCAAAAATTAGTCATAAGTGGCAGCTGTAAATAGCAGTAATCACATTTTTCATGTTCACTCTTAAATGGATTGCCACTTTATTAGGATGAGTTGGGATTTTCAATACCCAGATCTCATGTACTGTAGGTTATTGGACTTTTCAGCTGATAAGGACAGTTGGTCATTAGTGCCAGATTCATCAGAAACAATGAAAATGTTTCCAGTGACTGCAGGGGAATTTGCAATGCTCTGCTGGCATTTACAGTACGGCTCTTATTCACCAGCAAGATGGTAAGATTTGGGCAGCATCTGAACAGGGTTTTGCATTCTTGTCCTACCAACCAGCACGGAGGAATATCATTAAGTTTCTCTCACCAGAATTTAGTCTAAATTTGATTCTCATGAAATCTTAATATCCACACATAAAAGTAACTATCAGATTGGGGGGGGGGGGGGAGGGAAAG